TTTCCTCCCTCAGTGTTGTCATTTCTTTCTCTGTGGTTGTTTCATGTGGTTGTAATTGTTTTTCATTCCTTCTTGCCCCAGTTTTTCAGGTTAAATGGTTCACATTTACATTAAACCTCTTTAGTTTGCGTCGCACTGATATGCCAGGCCTCCCTGTCAGTGCATTAAATAAAGAGAAGGGATTGACTTTAAGCACAGAACAAAGATTTTTTTACGGCCTCACATTGGGGAAATTCGACTGTATTTGCGGCAAAGCAAAGAAAAAAAAACAAAAAACAGACTGAATTTCACATCATCAAAAACTTTAAAAGTCTGATTCCAAAACAGCAATCCTGAATTAGAAGAGGATGTGCAGTAAAGGAAAACCCCAAACTCCAAAAATAAACAGTTTGGCTAAGAAACAGCATCACAGATTAATTTAAATTAATTTGTGCAACATGCAAACCACAAAAAAAGTGCATCTCAGAGAAACGTTATACAGAGAAAAAAGGAAAAACTGTGAAAGATTCCACATAGATATAAAATGGTTCCAACAACCCAGCTAATAAAATAAAGGTTTTTTATTTTTATTTTAAAAAAGTGGACAGGAAGAACAGTTTATACTAGATAACCTATATACATATAAAGAAAATACTGTACAGTTATCAAAAATAGCATACTTATATTAAAGAACTGCCAGTTGGATTATTTCAGTTATGTAAATTTGAATGTCATCAGAACATTTAAAAACTCTTGATAATAAACGGCAGTACTGTAGAAGGGTTCATGTAGTTTATACAACGCAAAGAAAACAGCTCAGAACCCAGAAAGGTCCAGTTTCCAGCGAAGGACAGAAGGAAGCAGATTAACCAGCTCCCAGCTTGTTTCTTTTTTAATTGTTATTTTACTCTCACAAGTACAGTGCAACGAAATGAACTCTCTGCATTTAACCCATCCCCTGGGGGAGCAGTGGGCTGCCATTGTGCGGCGACTCGGGAGCAGTGTGAAGTTAACGGTCTTGCTCAGGGACCCAGAGTGCAGGCTGTGGGAGTGGAGCTTGAACTCGGAACCTCATGACATACTAGTCATTAGATTCTCCTTCTGGTATTTTCCATAAATATTTATATTTGTAATGGTGTAAATATTATGGCTTAACATACTCTAAAATAACTTCAAGTGGACCTCAGATTATTTTCTGTGTCGAATCCCTCACCTGTAGTGATGCAGTGTTAGCCCAGACTAGAAGCAATGATGCTTTTAATAAGGAAATGTTTGCTTTAGTCCTTAAAAAAGCTGAAACTGCTCTGATTTTCATCATATCTACTTCCAGTGATGACCTGTTCTTCAGCATCAAAGTCTGGAACCAGGAAAGCCAACTTCTCCCACTGAACTGCCTCTAGTTCAGTGAACCTGGCCGTTTGTTCAACCCCACCCATGTAAATTGTTCACATCATCAAACGTGTTAATATTATTTTCTCTCTTTCTGCAAAAATTGTAGACATGGATGGATTGTCTTAGATAAGCAGGTATCAACCTGGGTTCTCTGGCTGCTTAGTATTCATTAAAGAGAAAATCTGGAGAGGAAAACTGTCTATGCAATGCCCTGAAGGTAAAAATCTAAACAGTTTGTGTCCAGAAGGTGTGGGCTCTGCAGCGATATAAAGTTCTGTGTCCTTTTTCCTGACTTTATTTATTTATGCAAAAACAGTCAAGTCGTAAATTTATTGAGATTAACAAACAGTATCCAGACCCAAATTACTGCTAGACCCAGATGAAGAAATAAAAACCTGTCTGACATAAAGTAGGTTAAAAGGCCTAATCTAAAGAAGTGCAAGTAAAGACGTGAAGCAAGTTTACTGACATCTACAACAGCAAAAGTGTCGTGGGGTTATAAATGGCCTAGTCAAAGAAAGAGCTTAAATATTACTGGGGTGCTGTGGTCTGATCAGGCTGTTTAAGGAACCAACCACCCCCCACCCCCACCTCCCAAAATAAAAACCCCCAATTATAAATAAATAAATAAATAAATCCATGCTGGTGATGTTTCATTAAAAGCACTTAATCGTTCCTGTTCTACTTACATTGCAGTGTAAGTAAAACTCCCTGCACAAGTATAATAAAGCAATTTATATGTATAAATCAAGCAGAACACTATGGCGATAGCCGTACTGCTCCACTTGTGAAAGTAAAATTTGTTGGGCCTTTTTGGCATCAAGACAATTATTGTTATTGCCACATCGCCAGAGAGAACACTGTTTAAAAAAAAAAGAAAAGAAAAAAAAGAAAACACTTAATCTGAGAAACAACCAGTCGTTTTAGGGCTGGATTACTCTCTCACACAAAGCAAACTTCGCTTGGTAAATTTGCTTTTATACATCAAAAAGAATAACAGCAGTACTTTTTATTCTTTTAGCTTTTTGCAAACTTCTGTATTTCATAAAAACGTTTTTTTTTTTATTGAAACTGCTTTAATTTGAGAATATGGACCTCAGGCTCTACATTTTAAAAAGACTCCAAACAACAAGGAAATGCTAAAAAAAAAAAAAAAAAAAAAAGCCCAGGGAAAAGGTTCGAAGGTCTTCCAGAATCACAAGTGAACCAAAAAGCATCAAATGGGTCCAAAACAAAGAAAAATGTTCTGAAATCAGGAGCAGATCTACTCTGACACATCGGCGCTCCTGTATCCATAGATATTCTCTCATTGATTCTGCTGGCCTCTAATGCAGGGCCGGAAATAGATGGGGCCATGGCCACCCTTAGCCAATCATTGGCCACCCCTGTGGCCACCCCTACCATTTTTCCCTCTAATACAGACAGGGGCAGCAGTAATAATCTCAAGTGGAATATTCCTTTTATTTTTTCATATATTACTTACTATTTTTTCATGTATTCATAATTTCTTGACAACAAAAACACTGTGGTTCATAATCACACATCAATATAGTAACATTAAAGATGATAAGCACAGAATTCATGCTCTTTTCAGAACTAGATTTTGTGTTATATGGGCTAAAGAGAAAATTATGTAATAATAATAATAATAATTAATTTAATTAATTAATTAATTTATACTGCACTTTTCACCAAAAAGGCCTCAAAGTGCTACAAAAAAGCATAAAAAAAGAAATACATAGAAATAAAAGAAAAAAAATTATATATATATATATAGATATATATATATATATATAGATATATATATATATATAAAATGAAATAAAAAATATAAAATAAAATAATAAAAGCTGTTTTAAAAGAGAAAAAGAAACATCTAAGGGGGACCAAAAGTTTTGCTAAAAAAGGGAATTCCACAGATGTGGGGCAGCAGCACAAAATGCTCTATCTCCCATTGTCCTGAGTCTGGTTCTTATGTGTCTCTGCAAGTCATCTAGGAGTCTTCAGTGAAATCATAAATAACTATTTTGATTTAAATGTATTAAATAATCAATTTATGTAGATATTAGTACTTGCAAATATAAACTTTATGCAGAATGATTATTGATAAAAGTAGGTAAGTAATGACGATGGAAAAGATGTTCGCCCCAGAACTCACAGCTGAAAGAATTGAATCCACTATACCTTTCATCTAGAAAGCACAGATGTTTAAATATATACGTCTATTTGTTAGCAAGGGTTGTAGGAAAGTGTAGTTAGTCTCATCTCCGGCTTGACCTTGAGCAAGGGTGTAGGTTTGATTTCAACTTTGGTAGGGACACTATTGGTCTGATGTCATTGGTCCTATGCCAAAATATGCATACTTGTTTTTTTTATGCTTGACGTGAAAATCAGGGTGTAAAGCAGCATTTCTTGCTACATTTGTAAAAATTTTATAAGCGCTACACACACTAGATGCTGTTTATCAATGTTTGAAGCATCATCGGCTCTGATGAATGACAAATTAGGACTTTTTTCCACTTTGAAAAGGTTTGCATTTGAAATGACCAGTGACAATGACAGAAAGTAAATCTGTGCCTATTTAACTAAATATAGTCTAAATATGTCAGTTATATATGGATTTATCCTGCTGTTTCTTTTGAAGATATACAATTGTGCAGAGGTAAAACCCACTCTTATCTTTTAAATATTCTCTCTGTATCATGAAACAAAGCAAAATAATAGATTCAAAGGACACCAAATAAACGTATTGTATTTACATGAGCACTGGAACTGACACTGAGCATTTAGAATATTATTTTCACTCTACAAGTCATGCTGTAGTTACTCTATTTAACCCATATCATGTATTTTATCTTGGGCTGAAACAATTCATCGGAATAATCAATTATTAAAATTTCAACAAATTTAGTAATCGATTTATCATTAACTGGAGTATAGAGACTCTAAAACATGTCTTTAGCTCACAGAGCGACCCACTTAGAGCAGGGATTATAAAAAAAATTGTAAAAAAAACACACAAAAAACATATATAAACAAAAATGTTTTCGTCTGTCAATATTCTCCATCCCCTCTACTGCTGCATCAAAGCTGTATTGTCAATTATAAACATGTTATTCACATCTAATTGTTGGTAGCGGCCAGTAGGTCGGTCCAAAATGTTGGTAGGGACATGTCCCTATGGTCCCTATGCAAACCTACGCCCATGAGTCCCTGAGCTTCTGGCCCCTTTCCTATTTCGGACACCCCTCAGTGTTCCTTGGGTATTGCCAGGCCACCCTTATAAAAAATATCTGGCTACGTCTTTGCTCTAATGAAGGGGGTCTCAGAGGTGTCAGTGTTTAGGGGCCCATTTCCTCCTTGACCATCTGAGATGTTTCTCTGACTGTCACAGTAAGCGTTTTAGATTCTCACTAATTAAGAGGAAGAAACCCCATTAAGTTTCACGTGAGAGCACATTTCCATCATGGGAAACGGGACCGTGAACGCACCAGAGCAGCGGCTGGGTGAACCTGCAGCTTCCATCCTGAGAGCACCAAGAAGCGGACTTCCTCCGCCAATGCGCAGCCGCTCGACTTTCAACACAAAGCTTCAATATCTTCAGCTAAAAGCTCAGAAAGTGCGCTTACCTTCCCCTGAAAACTCTTCTTCGCGGCTCCTCTTAGTCGCTCTTTGTTTTCTATCTTCTCATGATTTAAACGTTACGAAATGAAGCAGGAGAGGATGTAGAGTGTTGACAGCAGGCCAGCCGCAGGGCGGTCAGTTCCTCTATCGGCTTTAGTACAAGGAAGTAAAAGTTCACTAGGATTATATGCACAGCATGTAACTTATGCAGCCTCAGAGTCCGGAAGCCAGGACGCTATCTATGCAAACTAGAGAAGCGCAGAGCTGCAGCTCTGACCTAAAGCTTTCAAAATAAACCTTCATTAAAGCAGCTGAAATGGGACTTTATAAACTCAGGGCTCTAAACTCAAGTACAGATTCGGTTTTAAAGATGTGCAAGATGGGAACCACATCAGTGCCTTTTGCACCATGTTTTTTCTTTCTTTCCCCAAACTGTTTAAATTTGATCACTTGTGCACTTTATGAAATGGTAATGTTCATTTTCACTGCTAAGCTGCTGCTCATTCACTGTCTGAAAGCTGTATAAAACAAATGTTTTGTTTTTTATACACCCCGTGTTTACAAAAAGACAATAGAGTTGACTAAGTCTAAAGTCTAGAGCATATCCAAACGTGTCTCACCTCCTAAAACTTTGACATTTATGCTTTAAATGCGATATTAACCAATCTTCAAGAAAAAGGAAAATAAAGAAGCGACTATAATCCAGATGCATAAACATAAAAAACCTGAAACTAAACTATTTTTTATTCAGATTTGGCACCTGGGATCCCATATCCTGACCTGCCCTCTCCTTAACTTTTTTCAACGTCTTGTGTGGACATCTCTTGTCCAATTGCCCAACATTTCTGTTTGGCTCAGTTCTGGGCTTTTGTTCTGTCCTTCCAGATCAAATTGTTTTAATTATGAGCTCTTTAATCATGAAAAAACCTCATTATCTACACCTTTCTTGCAAAAAAGGTAGATGTGGCATCTCAACTGTTCATAGCTTCATCCACTCTAGCCTTCAGCATGAAGGTGCCATCACCATACTTCACTGTAGCTTTGCTGCAACCAAAAGAGGCCCAATAAGTTTCAGTTTGGTTGATTCAGGCAAAAAACTAACTTTAAAAAAAAGGTTCTAGTATGTTTTGGTCAGAGCTGAGTGATTCTGTAAAAGAAATAGCTTCTGGACTAGCATCCAGTCCAGTGAACGCACCTACACCTAATTTATTCTGCAGGTCTGAAGAAGACTTTTCAGAATCACTGCAGAGTTTAGGGAGTTAAATCCTTTATAATGAATGAATAAAGTTTTAGGTCAGAAACATGATTAGAGCTTAGGGTGTCACATTGATCTGTTTTCATTCACATAGAAACTAATTATAAAGAAAGGGTAACATTTCAATTTGCATGTCTAAGATGAAAATCTTTGCAATATTTGGTCTTTCAAACCAATGGATGAGGTCCAGCAGAAATTAGCTCCACCTGCTGTTTTTTTCTCCTAGCGCTCGTGGTGTCATGTCGGGATAGCAGCTGGAAACACGCCTCTACAAGCAGCAAAATTAAAGAATGTATCCTATACATATATATAGGATTTTTTATTTCAAGCAAAAGTAAGGAGAAGAATAAGATCCGCATAAAATGCTTTGGGATTGTCAGGAAAGTTATCAAAACTCTGGGAATTTAACTAGCAGGCTTTCCTGGTCAAATAACTTGTAATACATTTTTTCTTAAGTTTGTTCCTTCCTGGTTAATTATTATTCAAAATATGTATTTATTTTTAAGGCTCTGTAGAGGGTGATTATCACTTGAGCTGACTTCTAGTGTTTTCATCAGACTTATTTTGATTTCTGAAAATAAAACCCTAAACTTCCAAAAACAAAAACCAAACAGATATTGTTCTCAGTTGAACCAGATCCAGAAAGTTGCTGACAGAAGATCACATGAGCTGTGAGACATTTGCATCAGTTACTCAGGTATTTGCATGATAGCAGAGCAGATGAGGAGGAGGGAGCATGAATACAAGGCAGCCTTTCAGCTTCTCACCACCTGTTTGTCTTCATCTAATATCAGCATTTACAGCCTGTATGCTGCAGTCAGGCAGCACTAAAGCTGCTGCCCCTTATATCTAAAACATGTTCATATGAAGAAATAAAGCTCAGTCCTGAAGGTTAAAAATCAAAGTTGACCCAAACTTTCTCAATTAGATAACAAACACAATCCAGGAAATAGCTTCTCTACGAATGGAGCAGATTTATCTGTGTAAAGGTTTTAAGCAAAGATTTCCCTCAGCATCTGCTTCATCCGGACCATTCAAAGTATCTTGTAACACAGTAAATGTAAATAATAACTGATCCACATAAAGACTGATGCCATGAATTCTACTCACAACACAGTCATTGTTTGCTCCCAAATAGATTGAGGTTGCATAGATAGCATTTTGATTCCAAAATGACTGAAATGGTTGTAATTTAATGAACAATATAGCATAATTATTTGGATAAAAATAATATTTGAGTGATATAGTGGTTAAAAAGGTGAGCATCAGAAAAAGTTATTTTTTCTGTCCTTTAATGAAAAAAAGTTATTTAAAAAAAAAAAAAGTCATGTTAATTGGTTTTTTCGTTGATTAATAAATTAGTTTGGTGTTCTGAAAGCTAAATGAAAGGGGGTAAAAACTTTTTCAAACAACTCTGTCTCTCATGGCTATCTCCACTTTCTCGTCATTACTATCCTAAATAAAGCTCATAGTTTATAAATCTGTTGTGCCTCGACTGAAGGTCCTTAAAATGACCAGAATGTTTGTATCATAAATGTCTCCATCCTGTGTAGTTTTTACACCAAAAAAAACCTTTTTGACTCTGAAAGCTGCTTTTATATATATATATATATATATATATATATATATATATATATATATATATATATATATAGTTGTATAGTGTTACTTTAACCAAAATTAAAATCAAGGTCAGAATTATAAATGTAACATTACTCACTTTCAAAGCTGTTTTACATTAAATAATTTTTTGGCAAGTTAGATTTAATGTGCTCCATCCAAAAATCACATCTTGTACATTTATTTAGAAAGCAAACTCCACAATTTCAGATTATTTTAATACTGTGTATTTTAATCAACAGAAGAGCAAATCATGACATAAAAATGTCGCTAAACTAGATTTTAAAACTATTTTAAATGGATCTTTGGTGATTATTGTTGCTAATTTTATACCAACTTTGTTAGTTTTCAGTGAAAGTTTGCATTTTACAGAGAAGCAGCCAAGAGGAGCATGGTTAGTGGAGGAGCTGCAGAGACCCACAGCTCAGGTGGGACCTTGTGTTAGCAGTTCTGTGATTTCTCAGCAATTGCATAAATGTATTGTTAATATGGAGCATCTGAGCTGCAAAACTCATGTTTTTAATTGTTTAAACATGTCCATAAAGGGTTAGAGGGTATCTTAGCTGCAGATCCAGAACCAGGTGCAGGGAAACAAAGCAGAACACAAAAGTTTGACCACTTAGGAAGAAAAATCTGCACAGAAACACAGAGACATATAGTTAATGTTATTTTACTACAGGTGAACATACTGATAATCACTACATATACACACGTCTCATGATTCACTACATGCACTGTAAAAATCAATGTGACACTCGACTGTAACAGAGTTTACAAACTAAAAAGAACCTGAGGTAGAGAAACATCTGCTAGATATGTGACATTTTTCAAGTTTCACTGACACCACATGCAGCGTGTGCTCGTCATCAACAGTCATCAGGTCCATTAAAACGGACCTCAGAGGGGGAAAAAAAGGTGATTCCCAAAGTTTTTTTTTTTTTTTGTTTAACAAACATCCAAACCAGATAAAACCCTAAAACACAGAAAGAATAATTCTGGTTAATCAGCTAACAGCAGGGATGGAACACAGAAATTAGAGATTAATAATCAGCTTAAGATTAATTACACTTTCCCGATGGTTTCATTTTGAATCTCACAAAGCTGCTCTGATTTGATGTCTACCTTAACTACTCGAAGAGGAGAGCAGGAGGATTTCAGAATGGATGCAAACATTAAAGAGATGCTGCTTCAGCTCCTCTACCATCATCATCTTCAGAGCAATAGAATAACCAGAGCGAGAGCGTGTCTCTGATCTGTAGCAACCATCAGGACACGCTCAGTCGGATCAGACCAGAGCACAAAGACCCGATAGGAAGAAAACTGGTCGGCTCAGGTTTGGCTGCAATCTGCAGAAAGAGAGCAGCAGTTGGACCATCAGGAAGGAATCATCTCTGTTAAACTTATCAAAGATTAAACCACTAAAAAAATTACTTTGTTCAGATTTTCATTAATCAACAACAATTAAACATGAATTTATTCTTTAAAAAATTCCCCAAAGGGCTTCACATGCAGGGAGATACTTTCTGTTACATATTTTTCTATCAGTGAAAATGAAGAGGTTTGATTCTGTTGAGAAGCAGCCGGTCCAAGTGTGAATTCACACCCAGAGATGGAGAAGTTGCTAGCTGGTATAAGCTCATAGTTTAATGAGAGCTCTGACCTGCAACTACTGAGAAATCAGCCTGGAAACCTGCATGGTTGTTCCCTTTTAAACAAGATGACAGTTTGTGGCTTAAAAAGCCGGAAGGATCCCCCGAGGCGGGAAATACTTCCATCTACTGATTACTTCAGGGAGGAAGATGGCTCCCTGTGGCTAATCGAAGTCTTCCTCCAGCTCATTGAACCCCTCGCTGTGCAGAGTTTTCCCTGTCAGCTCCATCATGGCCTGAACTTCTGGATCCACGTTCAGGATGCTCTTCTTACTATCCTCTTCCTCCCCCTGAAACAACAGACAGTCCAAGGATCAGTGGAAGGAAAGCCAAAGTTTCTCTGTTCTGTACTTCATCAGCCGACCCGGTACGTTCAATCAGATAAACAGTTCAGACCAAATGATTCCTATGAGTTAAATTTAGGACTGGTCACAGGAACCAGCAGATTGCATCATATTTCAACTGGGCCGTGATCCGTCATCCTTGGGAAGCTCTGAGGAAGCAAAGATCCAAGACGGGTCCTGGCAGCAGACATTTACCGCCCCTGTAAGGACAAGGAGATCTGGGCCTGACTCACAGTCTCCCCCTGGTGGTTTCTATACTGGTCGGCAGAACTGAGAAAATTTTCAGCTCTGCATGTTCATGGGATTTTTTTTCCAATCAGTCTAAACATTCATAGGGCTTCTTAAAGGTTTCCAAGAAGCTACGCAAAAAAGGTCTGGTAATAAAAATGAACAGAATCTGCCTAAAATATCATCATGGTTGGAATCTGCAGCAAAGGAAATAAATGCACGGAATAATGTTTGAAGATTGAAATGATAAGGAGAAATATTTGTAGCTACAAAAACAACCATCTGCATGGTTGTCATGGTAACAGAGGGGCTTTCTCAAGAGTACTTTAGAGAAACTCTTTGGTTCAGGTGTGCCACCCACCCCATCCCCGTACCTCAGGTGGCTGGGGGGGTTTCCCCACAGCCCACACCTCCACAGAGTCCAGGGTGAAGTCCTCCTCTCCAGACAGCTGGGGGCTGCCATAGGTGGTACATTTGGGTCGCGCTCGGCTGTGACCCTGCCCAAAGTCGCAGTCCAGCCACAAACCAAAGTAGTCGTGTTGACCTCCCATTCCCTGATGGGATGAGAAGACAGAGCAGAGGAAGCTTTTAGAGGCCATCAGTTACCTGATCAATCTGCTTTCATCATTCACAGCCAGATCTTGACTGGAAGGCGTCCTAATGTTCTGGAGCGGCTCGGCCCTGCAGACCTGAACCTGCTACTGGATCAATGGAGGGACCTAAAATTAGAGTGATGGTGAGGAGGACTTCTTGGAACTCATCACCAAACAAAACATCCAGAAAGCCAAAGATTTCTTTAATTCATTATCGAGACAAGAATAAATATTTGTTTTTTTTTTTTATTATATTTTATAAAACAAATGATTAAATTTAGGTTAACTTCAATGCTTCTGTAGGAAACTATGCTATTAAGCAGGAGCACCTGTTGACTGGCTCGTGTTGATAGAAGGAGTTAAAACTCAGCTCAAACCAGATCTGAAAGTGAAGAACTACGATGATGAGGGATGCCTGTGATACAGCCTTCTGTGACCAAGCAAACAGGTTTTCTCTCTGACTGAAGGTGACTTGTACCAATGTTTGTCTTCTTACCACTTTAAAGTCGTGCTATGTCAGCTGTACTGTAGGGTTCTGATGGAGACAGCATCAGACTGAAACCTGGTTCTAGATCAGACGGGGTGTTGGAATCAGATTGATCTTACTACGTTTCCTTTAGATTTCATTCAAATATTAAATGATGTTCCATCACTTGAGCCATTTCTGCTGATGTGTGGTTTGTTTCATGGCTAATTCTCTGCTAGGTTTTATGTAGGGAGGGGGGGTTGTGGGGTCTAAACAATCATAGAGCGTGAAGCAAAGCCGTAAGGTTCTGCTCTACTGGTCTCCTGCCTGCTCACCAGTCCGTTGGGCATTGTCTGCTGGTGCTGGTTGAGGTACATGAAGTGTTCGTTGTATCCTGTTGCCGTGTAGACTCTCAGCGTGGGGAACACAGAGAACAGGAAGCATCTGGAGTCCCCTGCACACAAATAAACAAATCACAGAGATCTGAGCCCAACGCCAGGTTCCAGTCCTCGGTATTCAAACAAGCGGTGACACTTCCTCCATGCTTTGCCTTTTTGGGGGCTTGATTGGCCCCCAGCTGCAGACGCCTTCGCAACGTTAACAAAGACCCTCAGAAATAAAAGCAAAAGATCCATTTTCTTTACCGCCTGAACATCCTAACCCAGTTTCACTAATGAGATCCGATGTGCAGTAAATATGCATGAATGACATCGATACATAAATAAAGAATTAAATATTCCAATATATAAATCAGAAATTGACTGATGGATTTTTTGTTGCTGATATCTAACCCTAGGGCAGCTAATATCTAATATTTTAGGCTGTTCTTGTTTTTTGTATTTAGCTGAATGGTTTTGATTTTGAGGCATTATTTGAATTTGGCCATTTTCTGTGAAATAATCGTTTTGAAGCAGACGCTTTTTTGTTCCTTTTTCTATTCAGCCCCCATACTTTTAAGACCCCACTTCTCTTTTGACTGATTTCTTCTTCAGAGAAACTGTATAGAAATCAGGGCAATCTTGTTTTAAAATCTAATCTCTGATTTTTTTTTCCTACCAAATCAAGTTCACTGATTTTTTTTTCCTCACTTGAGGTTTTATAATAAAAATGAAAAATGACCTAAAACTAACTAAATGTAAATAATGAAATTTTTGCTTGTTTGTAAAATCTGTTTCACAACAATTAAGATCAAACGTTTGCTGGTATCACACAGAGAGCTAGTTTAACAGTTATATAATTGATATCTAAGAGCAAAAATGATGAACTATGGAAGCAGGAGAGGATTAGTAAAAAAAAAAAAAACAGAAATCAAAAACAATGTTTTCCATTTTCCTCTTGGTAACATTTCTTCCAGGGACAACAGGTTATCAGAGACAGCTTTAACTTTTCCATACATTAAGTTATAGTAAACACTGTCCTCTAGCTCTATGTCGCCATGGAAACCATGGAGCCACAACCCATGCCTAGATTTATAACTCCTTAAGCTGTAAAGACAATGTCTGAGTCTTTTATTTTTAAAATTTAAAAAGTTTTGTCGTCCTTGGTTCCTGTAGGTTTTCATTTGGATTCCCTCCGCTGTGGGGCAACAGAAGGTGTTTCTGTTTAAAGGCGACCATCCTGATGGAAAGGAGATAAAAGGAGATAAAAACAGGCCTCTGCTGGGCCGAATAATCTGAGTCCACCTTACAAGAGATAAACTCAATATAAAGGAAGGAGATGGAGATAAACGGTAACGGTTAAAGACCTAAAGTGGTGTAGATGAAACATTTGTTTGGGATTTTTAACATAGCACCTGGACCTTTCCTTTCCATACATACAGACCCCATCGTATATGCAGCAGTACAGATTTTTTGCAGTACAAATGAAGTCAGTGCACAGCTGTGCGCACATTTTATTTGGTTGTTTATAATTCAGAATTAACTTTAATCTAAGCAAATCATTAACATAAAAATTTAATTAAAAAAAATATCTAGCTTCAACTAGTGTGCTGATTTAAAGTGCTGGACCCCTCTTCTTTTAATTAGAAGACTGATGGAGACGCTACACGGTTGATCATCATCATCATCATCCTCTCAGGATCAAATGATTTTTAGTTATAGAGCAGCGGTTAAGAGGACAACAGTTCCTGTTCTCACCCTGGAACTGAGGCTTCATCTCCCAGGCTTGCGATGCAAAGCCCCCAAAAACATGGCCCTTGGTGTCTTTGATGAGCAGCACGGTGGGGCCGTGGTGTGTCAGACCCGACACCATCTTGGTGAAGCTCTCCCCATGCAGGTGTGTGGAAAACACCAGCCTCCAGGGGGTGCTGTAGCTGTCCGGTAACTAAGGGAAAATAAGAGGAGAGAGAAAGTGGTTGTTGGTGAGGAACAGTTTGCATGGATGCTGCTGATCCTCCACAGGAAATAAAAGCGAGGATAGAGGCTGAACATCAGTGGTCCCCCACAGAAGAGAGTGGTTATCATCAGAAGGGGATTATCTGCCGAGAAGCAGGCCTGTTTGTAAATGAACCAACTGCAGCCGTTCTGGTTCTGGTCTCAGAGGTTCTCCAGAGAATAACCAGTATCATGGAGAAAGTTTTGGTGGTGTTTAAATCAGGGTTTCAACAGCTTTCAACATCTCCCAGATCAACCCATCATCTGAAGATGAACCACCTGCTGATCTACATCAATGCCAGGAGGACACAGGGATTCTGGAGGAGCTGCAGACATTCATAGCTCAGGTGGAACAAGGCATATTCTTCTGCTAAAATGGCCTAGTCAAAGTAAAGACCTAAATCCCACAATGATCTATGATTAGACTTTAAAAAAGATAATCTCAGATGTTCTGAAATGGGCAAATGTTCAGTCAGTAGAGTTGAAGCTGAAGGACACGGACCTCATTAGACCAGTAGCCAGAAGAGGTTTTACAGAGATCTGCATTAGATACAAAAAAGAGTAAAACCCATATATTTCCTCATCGTAGCCATGATCTACTCCTTGTTATCGGTCAGCTGATTAAGGCCACAGCAGATTCATATTAAAATGCTAAAAACTATAGCTCTAAAAGTGATTTATTTTGTTCTCATTTAAGACCTTCTACTCATTAAATTAAAGGTATAGTGGAGGATAATCTTTTTCCGGTTGGATCACCAAAATAAGTGGTCCTCCTAATTTTCAATCATTCTGTTTACGTAAGGCCGTCCTACATGCTTGTTCCCATTTTCACTTACCGGTGGTGAGTCTGACATGGTGGAAAAATTGCAAATCTTTTGTTAAGTATGTTTGTATGAGCGATGCAAACAGCAACTTTGAAACAGAGCGTGCATGAGGAGAAATTGGCTCGTGCATGCTCTTGTGCGTGTTTAATAGATTTTCCCTCTTGGGAGCGTGTACAGGGTTGTGCATGTGCATTTCTGGAGAATGGAGAGGGTGTTCTTTTCAAAAATTCACGAAAATCTCCACTAAACCTTTAAAATATCTTAAAAATGTAATCTGCAGAATTTTAAGGTGAGCCACAACTAAACTGGGAATAACTAAATCAAACAGATACAGTCTTGGCTTCTGATGAACCCAAAGTGAATACTTTGAACCCCAGACCTGTGGAGCAAGAAACATGAGGGTGGGGATGTCCAGCAGGCACTTCAGGTCCTTCCAGTGCGTCTCCTTGCATAGAGGCAGTAAAGTTGGGGCCGTCCAAGAACCCAGAGACACATTCAGGCCCTCTGCAACCAGGATCTCCAAGTATAGGGAAACCTGGGAGACCCTGAAGATCCAGTCCTCCAGACAGGAAACATCACAAGTTCCCTGATCTGAGGGGAGAAGACAGACGCAGTAAGTGGAGAGCATCCCTGGAGATGTCCACAAACTTGATAGTCACTGGTTTACCTGAAGCTTTGAGCTCAGAGCACATCTGCTCTGCCAGCAGTTTGATCCCCAGCTGGGTGTCACCCATCTGCTCTGGCTTCCAGCCCTGCAGGCGCCCCCTTTTGGTCAGAATCTGAACTATAGCAGAAATCAGGTCCTCCAAGAACTGAAGAAAAGCAAAAACCATGAAGCTGAGAACCGACCAGCAAATCAACACTAAAATTTCCTGTTAACTCCCCCGCCTCACTTACCGCTGCCACCTGTTCACAGGTGACAACATCTGGAACCCCCTCTGCATTGTGGGACATGACCAAGACGAGCGGGGCCCGTTCCTCTGCAGTCCCTCGGAGGGTGTCCGCCAGGAAGACGATCAGCTGCTCCCGGTCAACCCCTGCGGTGCCTTCCTTTGCTGAAGCCGACGGTGCCGCCTGTCCTGGGTCGATGCTGCACATGCATCGGTAGATCCTCTTCACCATGGTGTCTGAAGCCAGGTCACCCATGGAGGTCTGGCAGAGACATTGGCAGGAATTAGAGAAAGGAAAGGCAGAAAACACAAAGAAACTGACCTTTTAGAGTAACTTCTAAAATCATTTAGATAACTGAGTAGAAGAAGTGATCGGATGACACATGGTGTATTGTTTATTACCCAGGACTTGGGGTCAAAAGTAACCATGAACATTTATGAGCAAAAAAAGATTATTCTAACTCTGCCTGCCATTTTCACAACATCCAAGACTTCATACTAGGGATGCACGATATAATCGGCCCCCTATCGGTATCGGCCTTAAAACTGAATATCGGACATCGGCCACCCCACCGATATTTAACCCAATATTTGATCAGCTTCTAAGTTTCTAAAGTAAAAAAAAAAATTAAAAAATACTACTTCTTCTTCCTCAAAAACTTCTTTTTTACAGAGTTAAAAACTTCTAAAGACGAGGGAAAAAATATTGATACATTAAAATATCACAATATCTTCATATGCTGATATATTGCGATTTAAAAACACCATATCAATCTCTTTTACTAATGAAATATTGCTATATGTCATCGTTATGCTACAAAATCCCCGCAAAATTCACGAAATTTTGCCATATTTTTATATGTTGATATATTGACGTGCTATTTTACTAACAAAATCTCACAAGAATTTGCAAAATATCACGAGAGTTTGTAACAGAACGATGAAATTTCACGAGATTTTGAAAGTAAAATAGATAGATACTGAATTTTTAAAAATCAATTTGATATCAGCATATGAAAATATATTTGAGTATATTATATTTCAAAGTGTCAAAAATGGATAACAAAACTGCTATTTTCAATGACTACTTATTTTTGTCCAGCTTTAACATCAGTTTCGATATCGGTTATCGGCTATATGACTTTTGAAATATCGGCATATCGGATATCGGCCAAAATCCCAATATGGTGCATCCCTACTTCATGCTTTAATGTATAACTAACAATATTAGAAATTTCTAAATGAGGTGCAGCATGTAAGAAGCTCCTCCGCCTGGAAGCAGGCCATCTAACTCCTGCATGTCGACCAAAACTCAATTTTAGAGCATCCATGTGTAAGAAATATGAAGACATTAAGAATATGTTTAAACGTTCCCTTTTATTTCATATTTCAATCCATTTTGTCATCAGTGTGTGAGAGGGGAGGTAATTCTCCATCAGCCCATTTCATTTCTGGAGCAAGAGTCATCATACAGTTTTAAAAACCTCTGGATCTTCACATCACAAGAGAAATTCTACACACAGATTTTAGTATTGTCCTCAAAGGCTGTTGCCCCAAAGTTGGATTTTTGTAGAAACTATATTGTTAAAGTGGGACATCTGTAATTGGATGTGGGACAGTAGTTTTTCCAGCAAAAACACAGCAAAAAATGAGCAAAAAAAGGATTTATGACAGTCAAAATCATAAGTAAGAAAATAAAAATTATGTGTGATTTTGCAAACAAAAAAAAGTAGCACACATATCATGAATACCTTTGGCAGAATTCAAATGAGCGATTTTAATCTAGATTAATTCCAGTGAAATTAATCTAGTTTAAAAAAATAAATCTATGTCCACCACTTTCCAGTTGTTGTTTAGTTTATATTAGAGATGTCCCGATCCAGGTTTTTGGACTTCCGATCCGATACCGATATTGTTTTTGGACTTCCGATCCGATACCGATACTGGCCGATACCAGCCTATTCAAGCATGCATTTAAGTTTAAGTTAAAGTATTTAGCCTTAGTTGTAAGACTCATGTTGAAAAGGGTTTTAGTACTCTTGATAACATCTAGCCAGCTAAATTAGGTGAGATTGAATAAAACACAATGATTGGTAACAACAAACTTACCTGTTTATTAAGAGATAAACACAAACTGGACAAAATTATGAATAGCAATCTGAAATTGCACAGTGAGCAGTAAAACCGTAAACAGTTAAAGGTGCAAGTATTACTGTAAGTTTTAATAAAAATGCAAAACAGACAAGAGTGGAAAATATTCTATTAATTTAGAATCAGGACTCTACTCTTGAAAAAAGACACTGCTTAAAAAAAAAATCAGTGCAAATAACAGTGAACTATTACACAAAAATGCCTTATACTCCCCAATCTCCTCCACACCTAGTCTCCATCTACACATCGTGCAGGATAAAATAATCCCACACGGCTGACATTTTCCCCGCTATCTTCCAATTCACCTGTTTTAATGGTTAGGCCGGGAGACAGACCCAAAAAGACCTGTGAGTGTTTAAGGTGTTCTGGAAAATGCGGACCGGATTCGGGGAACACTGGCGCAAAATAGTGGAATGTATCGTTTCAATCTGCGAAACTGGAAAATACGGACCGGATTTTTTTTTTAAAACTGGATCGGCAGTCTGGATCGGCATTTTTACATTCTTTGCCGATACGCATTGTTTTGCCAATATCGGCGTCCCGATCCGATCCACGTATCGGATCGGGACAAGCCTAGTTTATATTATTCATAGAGTAGAGCCGACAGTCAGAGCTCCACCGTCAACTGAAGGATAATGATCTGGGAGCTTCTTTTGCATCCACTGACCTGCAGCGTCTCCAGCTGAAGAGTCTTCTCCGCTCTAGAACCACCCAGCAGTCTGTCAAAGACCCCATCTATGGTGGTCCGCTCCTCGGGCCGAAAACGGGCCATTCGCTTCTGCACCATCACACTATCACTGTTACCCATGATGCCCTGTAGTCCGATAACATGCACTCCTTAAAAGAGAAGTAAAAAACACAAAGGCATAGCCATTAAATCCAGTTTGAGCTGTTTTTCTCCTGGTGTTGCTTTGCTCTGCAGTACCGATCCAACTTGCTCCTTAAACGTTATTCTTTCCTGTTTTCAAACAGGTTGGATCCCATAAAATTTTTCAAAAAAACAGCTTGAACTACTGTACAAAATATTTTATTTTGGCTACATAAATAAACTAAATAACATTTATTACAACCTCTATTACAGGAAAGTTCATATATCTGTGAGGTACGTTTATTCCAACATTTTAATGTCGACATCTGCAGAACTTTTCGTGGCTTTTTTATTAATATTAACCTTTAATCTCAGTTTTTCAGCACTGCAACAGTCAGCAAGTATTTCATCAATTCTCCTGTACGGGGACGCCTTTTACAGTTGCTTTTGTATCTCTGCTTCTGTCTTCTTGAACCCGAGTCGGCTTCGGCAGAAGGCCGCTCACACTGAGCCTGAGTCTGATGGAGGTTTCTTCCTGTTAAAGGAAGTTTTTCCTCTCTACTGTCGCTTCAAGCATGCTTAGTGTGAGGGATTGCATGAGTTGCCTCGACACAATCAACTGGTTTTCCTTAGATAGAAAACTTTGAATCAATTTGACTGTATGATCTGGTGAACTATAAAGTGCCTCTAGATGACCTGTGTTGTGAATTGGCGCTGTATAAGTAAACTGAATTGAATTTCTACCACACCTCGGGGTTATTATAGAATGTGGAGGCTACTAAGGGCCACTCGCTCTGTAGGGGACACACCCACCGCGTTCCTTCGTTTCCATCCGTTTATAACTGCAGTAACCTTCTCCTTGTTTAGATCACCTGACTTCTCACGAGTTCCTGTTTACCACCAGAAACGCATTTAATCAGCCGCACGGGGTTCTAAACCAGCACAGAACAATCAAGTACCGAGTTTTATTATCAACTTCTTTCATCAAAGATTCCGTATAAAAAGCTACTGTTTTAAATAAGCAGGTATCTCTGTACGTGGTTGCCAACCGTTACTAAGCCCAAGCTGCGCGCGCATCCACACCTCCATTGTTTGCTCTGGAATCTGAGTTCATGCTAACACCCAACGAGCGGAGCTTCCCACACACAAAAGAAGCACTGCGGGGGTGTTATAACCCAACACCATCACCAGGAGAAAATGGGAAGAATGAAATAAAATATGTGTCAGTGTGTCAACTCACCCCTTAAAGAGCTGCAGCAGCTAAGCTTCCCAGATCCTGTATGAGGCGGGACTATTCAGTGGAGGCAGTCCTGCTGACACCAGCAGCAGCCAATCACATGACTCCGAGGTTCGTGTTCGTCGCTCTCATTGGGCGTTGATTCGGAGGGCGGTAACAGTTGGGTGGACTCACAGAGGCAGGGCCGGTTCTAGCCCTTTGGTTGCCCTAGGCGAGATTGAGTTTTGCGCCCCCCCCCCCTCACTTTTGCCGTGCGAAATACCAGTACTGTTTTCAGCATCTGTTTAGTGCTTCATTGAGTTGTGTTTACAGTTCCACAAAGAGTGCTGTGCGGTGAATTGCGCCTACAGTTGTGCAAAGTGTGTGTTACAAAATTGCAAATTGAGTGCAAAGCAGTGTTTGTTCTTTTAGTTTTGTGAACTCATTGAGTGGATTTGCTATAAGTATTAATAGTTTTAGAAATTGTGCTATAAGAATCAAGGTTGTGTTTAAGCATTCAGAAAAAACTGTAACTTAGCATGGAGTGATGCATAGACAAATACCAGAATAGGTTTCAGTACCTTTTCTTTTTTATTATTTTAAATAATTTATTACACACTCAAAGTTAGGACTGTGCAAAAACACTTTTAACCATCTGTAAGGACACTTAGGTAAAGTATAACTAAAAAACTGGATTGAATCATTGAATGAATTTATTTCAGACAATTAACAAATTTAACACACATTAAACAAATATTAAATAAATCAATTTCAGAAATTACCAAATAACAATAAAAAATAATAAATTTAAGAAATTCTTCAACCAAGGACTACATAAAAAAGTAATTGATAAATATTAAATTAAATTTTCTGTTCCAGTTCAATTAAATCATTTGAACATAAATAGAAATGAGATAAACAAAATTTTCCTCTAAATAAAATATATCAGGTATATTTACCATGATTTCTGACATTGATTAGTGATTAAAGAAAAGATTAACCCTCTACAAACAAAAGTGCTTTTATGAATACCATTACAAAATTAAATGTTTGAAGTTGTTGTTTTTTTTGTTGTTCACATATTCTATGATGAACAGCCATAACTTCATATATTTTGATGATTATTTGTACATCCCTTTTGAATACTCAATGCAGATAATCACTACAAAATATTTTATTTATATTAGTATCTTCTACCCATTCTCAAGCTAATAATATAGCACATAATTCTGCTGCATATATACTGAGGAAAAAAATTATGTCAACATTAGGGATGGGGATCGTTAATATTTATTGATATCGATACCTTTATCGATACTCCTTATCGATCCGAGTCTTTATTATTATTATTTATACCACTATCGATACTTTTCTGTTATTTGGTGGAAAGACGATGCAACAAAATTTTTTTAACAGAACTGGTATTGCTTCTATTGCTTAACACGTGAGCATAACAAAAACGTTTCTAGCCTTCAATAAACATGGCTAATGTAATAGGCCACTTTGAAATGACATAAAACTAACTAGAATATATTTTCACAATTGTTTGTTAATGTATTGTCTACTGTCACTTTTCATCATGTTTTTAGTGATTAGGAAAATATTTAACAAATAAATAATTGTATTTTAAATTAAATGTAATTTTTAATAAATGTTGGCATCAGTAGTTTAATTATATATAGAGCAATATACAACTGTATTACTCGTTTCTCGCCAAAAACAAAATTTCCCGTTTTCTTTACGTTACACTTGAACGCATCATGATAACCTAATTGTCATTTTACTGAGCCAATCTGAACACATCATCACGCAGCACGTCTGAAACTTTATTTACTTTTCAAGCTAACTAGCTTCTTTGCTTTCGATTACAAGACGTATTTCACAATTACTATTTTTAACTGACCGGACAAGCTACAAAGTCTGTGTGCGCGCTTACCAGTGGTACTCTGAGTGGATGATGAAGACGGGCCCGACTGCGGTGGCAGGAGGAGGAGGAGGAGTCTTTTCCGTTCAGCCATTCTCGAGTCGCGAGCTAAGTTAAGTGCAAGACTTCACTTGTTTTACTTTTAATATCTGTTTGCTTACAATTTCATTCCAAAATATTGGTGTACATGCTGCAGTGATTGACGTCACGACTTCCGGGTTGGAGGGCGCTTGAAAAGTAATCAGAATCTTTTCCGATTTTCTCTTAAATGTGAAAAAATAAATAAAAAAACGGTGGTATATTTATTTGTTCATATTTTGCTATTTATATATACGTAAGGTTAAGTCAAACTGACGGACGCTTCATAACCGGTTTAATTCGCTTTTTTTTCTAATTCTATGATTAATGGGAAGTAAGCCTAAGGGCGACGCTAGAGGGCGCCCCCAACACATTTGTCGCCCTAGGCAATTGCCTAGCTGGCCTATAGCAATCGCCGGCCCTGCACAGAGGCTACGTTCAAAACAACTCCTAGTTTTCCAACATGCTGCTAAAAATAGGTCACCCATCAAATATTTACTCATCTAATTATTTAATCTAAGGGAGAAAAGCCTTTATTAAAAAATTACAATAAAACGTTTAATTTTTATTTAGTGTAGACCTTTTACTAGTGTTTCATGTGTGACTTTAAAGACAGGATTTGTGCAGATTGTTAAATCCAGTTTATGCGTTGCTGTGCATTTTCATAAATAGCCTGCAGGGGGCATCGTTTCTTCGGAAATGAGTGGAAAGCATAAAATGCACAAGGAATGAAATTATGCCTGGGGGGCTCTGGTCTACGGAGCCCCCTAGGGGATTGCAAGAAAAAAAAACGTTGTTGTTCTAATTAGTGATATTTTAGCTAGAAATTAAAGGATTGAAAGAAGAACTTTTAAAGAAACACCGTCGTAAGTGTTACTAAATGAAACACAGTCTTACTTTAAACCCTTTTGTAAACAGCACAAAATCAGCACTATAATTACAGATATTTCACAATTATTTTAGATCTTTTCACAAATTGTCAGCACAGAAAGCCCTAACAAGCAGTTTATTTATTATTTCCCGCAAGGGGTTATGACAGTTATAAAGTAATTCTGATTGTGATTATTAGAAAAATACACAAGGTGCACTTTCTGTCTTTTACCAGTAGGTGGTGGTCGTGAGTCGCCAAGAGGAACAGAGAATCAACGCCAGAAGAGGCAGTAGTTGAAGAATGCCTTTTATGGACATGAGATTAGTGTGCTAGCGCTCTGAACTGGGTGTGTTGCATTGTAATGAGCTGTCTGAGTACTGTAGGCACTGATGAATGCAACAGTGACGCGCTACCATCTGCCCACGTTGAGTAAATAGGATGAGCAGAAAATGAGCAGCCTGAAAGGTGTCAGAGAAATCATCTGCAATTAAACACAGCTTGGCAAATAGTCTGAATGAATTAATAAAGGTGTTCCTCAGGGTCCATCATTTATACTGTGGTGACTGTGCTTTTGTTTCTTCATCGTTCCCATCATGTGTTTACCTTATTGGTCACCTGTCAGTGAAAGATCTGCCTTTTATTTCATTCAACAATAAAGTACATTATTTACATAATCCACCTGCCTCCACCTGCTCCCTGCATTTAGAATAAGAGTGGAGACAACTTTGTACCTCAATGGGGAAATTAAGTTGTCCAATCAGCATTCTTCTTACAGAGCCTTGCTAAGCTGTGACTTCAACATTCTCACTGTCTTATCTTGGTCTTTTGAAATCCGAAGTCTGGCTGCTGAGGATCTTTTGTAAATACAAGCCTGGCCTGTGACACTGCAGATGGACTTCATCTGGAGTTGCACAAGCAGAAAAGTTTCAGTGTGGTGTCTTAATCATCCAAGGCACAACAAAAACAGGCTTTGAGGAGTTTGAACAGGAACTGCGTTCCACCTTTGCACCGGTGCAAACTAGTTGTTGTGTAAAAGCAAAAGTTTCTGTGGGGGAATGTAGCCCTGATTAATCCAGATGTGCTTCACTTAACGCTTTGCTCTGGAACAGGCCGAGCCTTCTGAGTTGCTGCTTGTATGGGACCTTCCCAGCATCCCGAGGAGTATTACGGGACATTGTTTCTTCTGCAATTATAACTGTAAGAACAATGTCAGATTTTTCCAACATGAAGAAGATGTTGCTGATTTGATAGCTGAGTAAAGTATATTTATGTTACAAAGTTTATTTTGATAGAGAATTTGTTCCATTTCTTGCAAAGAACAAAGCCTGGGGCTGCCACCGCCATGCTCTGCAGCTCAACAGTGTTTTGGCTTTAAAGGCCTTACATTGACTCTTAGACATGGGTCTTGTAATTGTATTCCAGCTTGGAGAAATTTAGTTCTCAAGCCTGAAAATCAATTTGAGAGTCTCCACATCGATACTCAGGCGGATTTAAGCCAGGCATATACTGTATGAGTTTTTGCCCTTTTTGGGCTGATTCTACAGTCGTACAAGAATTTTTTGGATGAGGCCGAGTCTAAGCCTCATCATGCGTCCTGTGTCGTGCAGTATACAGGGGGTAAGGAGGGGCGATTAGCCACTCACAACCATCTACAGATCAGGAATCTGCAGCTTCTTCGGAGAATCTCTGAGGTAAAACCCAAATTGTCTACAGTTAAACTCAAGATTAGAAGCACTCCCACTGTTGATTAAGTGACCTCGAAGGGAATTTTATTCAGAGGCTTTAGGGTAAAGAGTGATGAATACAACTGCACACCACACATTTCAGATTTGTTTTGTAAATGTTTTGAAAATGAGGAATCTTTTTCCTTTCGTGTATGAACTTCCCTAATTGTAAAGATCCAGTTTATTGAAATCGATAGCTGTATTGCATATATTTTGATTCTGTTGCCAAAACATTTGAACTTTTTTGTCTGACAAACTTTACAAAAACTCAAGTTAACTAAAGGAATTTATAGCATTCTTAAACCAGTTTATTTGGAGCCCTCCAGTTGTTCTTTCCCCTGCTTCGAGCAGGTCCAGACAGAACTAGCAGAGTGAGGCACTGATATATGAAGAAGGCCTATTTGCACACGTTGTTTTGAAGCAGACTGGCTTGGCTTATCTCTTACCTCTGGCAGGTAGAGGGCTCACCAGTCTGAACTGCTTAAGCTGTCAGCAAGTTGGGACTTGAGCAGAGAGTCGTGTTACTTCTTCTTTTCTCTTCCTGTTGCCCTTCGACACCACACTGCATCCCTATATGGTAA